GCTGGAAGGCAGTTCCAGATGCCTGTGCGAGGCCTGGTGAAACTCACTGGGACAAATACACTCAGATCCCGACTGCTGACCCCAGACCTGTCGCAGGCGGCGTGCTGAAGCAGAGGATGACCAGGGACCCGAGTGATGGGCGCTCAGAGGGCTGCGGGGGTGGGGGCTGCGGCCAGATAGGAGAGACCTCTCACCTCTCACAGCTCCCTCTGCGGGCTCCTGGGACCCAGCACTTCTGGTTTCCTTGCCTAGCAGGAACGCTCACCATGGTTTCCTGTCACAGGAGGGAGGGATGAGCTGTGTGTGGTCCAGCGGAGACCAATGCGATCCCTCGGGGTCCTGCTGAGCTCCCTGTGGCAGGGGGCCACTGGTGGCCGCAGCAAGGACACATGGCTGGAGTGAGGACAGGGACAGCAGCGAAGAAGGACAGACTGTGGAGCAGGTGTGCCTTAAAGAGGGGCAGAACCAAGTACTAGTGAGGTCAGGGCCCGGGTCAAGGGAGGGTTTTGCTAAGCCTGTAAGGTGGGTGCAGCCTGGGGTGGGTGTGTCGTGCTAGGGCCAACAAACGCTGCCTAAGCGGAAGGAGACCAGAACCTGTGGGGACTGGGGACAGTGGGCTGAGATGCTGGCTTCTGGGTGACGCTGTATCTTCTGTACAGTGAAAGGTGAGGGTGAACCAGGAGGCGTGGAATGGATGAGCCATGGGAGGCACTGGCGGCTCCAGGAAGCGGGCAGGGATTTCCTTCCAGGGCATGCAAAGGGTGCCAGGCTGGCGAGCCGGGTGGTCCGTGTGGTGCTGCTCTGCCCGGGCCCAGTCAGGAAGGGTGGAAGCGAAGGTAACAGAGCGTGCAGGCTGCAGCTGTGATTTTGGAGTTGTGGGTGACGCCTGCCCCACTAGGTAAGGAGAGGAGGGGGTGGGAGGCACCTGAGTGACCAAACCAGGCTGGTGTCCCTAGGTGATGTACTAGTGATGTCCTAGGTGATGTCCCTGGGTTCAGAGAGATGACAGCAGAGCCCCAGGTGCAGTGGAGGGAGCTGTGGGCACCACTGAGGGCAGCCCTGGGCAGCGACTGTGATGAAGAGTGGGGACTGGGGACCAGCTAAGAGGGCCAGGAGGTCACCCAGGTGAGGACAGGCCAAGCCAGGGGCTCTGGGGTGAGCAGCGTGGTCCCAGGTGCAGCCTCCTTCTGCAAGGAGAAGTGGTCTGCAGGTAGCGAGCATTGGGCGGGGCAAGGAGGAGGCTGGGTTTGGGGTTGGGGCATTTCATAACACCCTCTTGGGAAAAAGTGTCCCCGGGGGAGGTAGGTTTCTTACAGCACAGCGTGGCTCCCGCCTTCCAAAAAAGAGACGTGAGTGTGAGGGAATGTGCACCGTCAGGGAGAATCCGGAATGCATCCCAAGGTTGTTGGAGTTGGAAGCCCGGAAGAGCCAGCCACATCCCACAGGAATGCTGATGCCCTTGGAGGGCAGAGGGGCCGAGTGGGGGTCATTTCTCAGCATTTCAGGTTCCAACCACTGAGTGCCTGGAGCACCTCCACCCTGCGCAACTTGATAAGCAGACATGTCCTCGGTCATGGCCAGATGGCCCTGGGCAGCCGTTCCCAGCTCAGAGCCAGTGGAACTACAGAGGCGCTGCTGTTGGGTGCCAGGGAAGGCTGGTTCGCAGAGGCAGTGCTGTCCGGGATGCTCTGCTGTCTCGCAGGGCAAGGTGGTGGCGCCACTGGCAGGTGTAGCCTCCTTCCCGAGACGGGTCCTCGGCGTGAGTCAGGAGCTCCTCCCTGAACTCTGAATGTGGCGGGCACCGAGCAGACTCACAGTGAGTGCGCCCTGTTCGTGCCAGTTATTTCAGAAAAGGCTTTCTGTAGCTGGCAGGGAATGTGCCTGGAAACAGGTTCGCGTCACTTTGGTTCCCAGAAATGTCAGTTCTGAGCCTCCCACAGTGAGTCCCGGGTCCCCCAGGTAGGGTTCTGCCATAGACTGTGGAAGAGGCCCCTGTGTACACACAGAGGAGGAGCGGTGATTTATCTGAGCAGAGACCGTTCCTTAAAAGGTGCGCAGTGGATGCCTTCTTACTGTTTCTAAATTGGGAAAATGTGTGTAAGTTGGACACCTGTCTGCCAGGCTTTGGCGAAGTGCTGGCCGAGATTGTTCCTTGGTTTCTTTCTAGGCGAGTCCAAGGCGTGTGAGCTGGCACTGAGACCTCAGCTGTCTCACCTGGTGTCCTGATGATTCTTAGAGGCTTCCCGGTGCGGACGGAGGCACCTGAGGGTGTGAGGCTCCTCCTTGGCCAGCCCTATGGAGTCTCCTCTGCTGACTGGGATGGACAGCGAGTGCCAGGAAGGCCTAGGACAGTGCAGGATAAGACCAGGACCGGTGCTGCTGGAACACGGATGGATGAAAGAATAACAGAACGAAAGCCATGGGGGACAGAGAGTTTCACTTTGGAGGTGAACACTCCTTGTTCACCCCGAGTGCAGGACATGCAGGGGGCAGGGGCCCTGCAGCTCTCCTGGGGAGCAGGAACGCTAGTTAGGTTCAGAGAGATGACAGCAGAGCCCCAGGTGCAGATCTATAGTGCAGAGAGGAGACCTGTTAGCTTAGAAGCAAGCAATACCGACTCTAAGTGCCAGCAGGAAGGCGAGGGAAGGACAGATGGAAACAGACACAGCCTGTCCACTGGAGAGGGTGCCCGGGCGACAGGGCGGACAGATGGAACGGTGGCCCCAGGCAGCGGAGGCAGTTGGACTTGCCCACCTTGCTTCTTAACTTGCACAGTCAGAGCTGAGCCCTCTGAGGACAGCACAGACACGGTGACCACTTCTTTCCCGTGGCCTGGTACCAGGCCTGGCACAGAGAGAGGACAGGGCAGAGGCTGATGACTTCTGAAATCAGGGCAGGAAGTGTTTAAAAGGAGCAAAAGTATTCCCCAGAGGGCTTGAGCATGGAGTAACACACAGATGAGTATTTCTGGATAAAGTAATGATTTTGTGGTCCCTGGAACTGGCCCCCGGGCCAGCCTGCAGCTGCTGAGCGCCGAAATGGTATGGAACAATTACGTAGCCCCAACCCCAATATCTGTACAGAGGATGATCGCAAAATGCAGTGAACCTTTAATTTAAAATCTTAGTAAGAGGTTTTAAAACCTATAGTAAGAGACATATTGCCAAGAATGTAAGTGTGGCCCATTGAGGGAGGATTTTCAGGATTTGTGGCATTGTGTCTTTTACTATAATAAATATTTTTATTTAAACCTTCACTATACTTTTTGCTTGCCTCTTACTAACCAATGATTTGCAACAATTCCTGTCAAATTAAAACGTTAGGGTGGGTCCTCATCCACCTCATTCACTGCATCTGGCACCCTGCGACTTCCGGCTCTTCCCCAAAGTCAAAATGACCGTGAAAGGTCAACGCCTCTTATTGATTCAGGACACTGAGGCAGCCAGGACACGGCGACTGAAGACACCACGAAAGGGGACTTGGAAACTGCCTCTGAAAGTGGCAGGAGCGAGGGGATGAGCGTTGGAAGTGAGGGGGGCGTCTTGAGGGGGATGAGAACGGCACTGTAATTTTTAAAATGTAAACACTTACCGTTCGTTTAATCAGATACTTCATCCAGTGTGATAATTGAGTTCTATAGCTGCAAACCATGACTTTGGAAAGCTTCCCCTGTAAAGCCCAGGGCAACCCAGAGCTGGAGGCGAGACAGCCCCGAGCTGGCTGCACGATCCAGCCCGGGCCCAAGGAGCCAGTGGAGGGTGGGCGTGGCTCACACCGAAGCGGGGTGAGAGGGGAGGCCAAGTCTTTGAAGAAAGGGTGACTTGGGGGACAGTCTGCGTTTCATCTCCTTCCTCCACCACCACAGCCAAACTGCCGCACAGTCTAACAGCCAGCCGAGGGGCATTGGGACTGCTTGCTGGACCTTGGGTGAAGTCACCACGGACATCTAGTGTGGAAATCCAGGAGTGGGCTGCAGTGGAAGGGTATCAGCTTTGGGGGAGGGAGCACAAGGGTAATGGTTGGTGCCTGGCCACTGTGGCAGCACCTCGAGGCCCGGCTCTTGCTCAGGCTTTCTTAGGGGTGACCCTGCAGTGTGTGTGTAGAAAGTGGCTGATGTGTACAATCAGAGCTCAGAAAGTAGCGCTGAGCAAGTGCAGTGCACGGCTGTGCCGAGCTCCTCGAGCTGTGAACCTGTTGAGCCGAGAATCCCGACAGCGCGGGCATCGGGAGGCATACGCTGCTCGCTCCTCCGCTCCGTTCCGTGTGCTGTGTCCTGGTGGGTTCTGACCTTCTCTCTGGTAAAGCAAAACAATAAATGGAGAGTTTTGCTCACAGTGAGTCATCATACTTGTGTACTGGTTTTAGAAAGCCTTTATAGGTAGCTTCATTGACTCGCAGCTAGCAGGCCTCCTTTACCAACCTCCAGACACTGTCACAGGGCATTGCTGAAGAGTCAGCGTTTTCTGTTCTCACTCACTGTGAAGAGAAGGGGTGTGATGGTTGTGTGCAGTGTCCTGGGGTGGAAAACGGAATCAAGAGCACCCGTCTCCTGAGCACACGCAGAATCAAAGTGGTGTATTTACGATGATGCTTTCCTATGAATTTCTAAGTGTACTTCATTCCTGACATGTCAAGGTAATTATGGGGAGAGAAAAATAAACAACCAAAACCATGAGCTTACCACTTTGCCGCTCCAGAGATCTTGGATTGTGAGTGTGACTGTCTAGGGCTCGAGCCATGGGAGTAGAGAATTTTAACTCCTCCCTGGTCTAAAGTGGTGCCGAAGTAAGTGCCTACTTTTGAATGGCAGGTGCCCCGTGCCAAGGGCTTCCCTGGTCTTCTCAGACCCGAGGCCCCAGGCCTTCAGCCAGTGATCTCACGAAGGGGTGTGACACGCAGGGCCTCGTGATGTTGGAGGAGCGCTGCTTGACTGTTGTTGCCGAACCCTCTTCTTCCCTTGCTTACCTTTGCATTTTTTGCCTTTTCCGGTCCGGTGGCAGACACGGGGCTGGGTGACTCCGTGTGCTCCAGCCCAAGTATCTCCAGCTCCACCAGCCCCAAGCTCGACCCACCACCCTCTCCCCACGCCAACAGAAAGAAGCACCGCAGGAAGAAAAGTACCAGCAACTTCAAAGCTGACGGGCTGTCTGGCACGGCGGAAGGTGAGCTGTCCCGGGCCGCCGGGGATGGGCGTCTGCACTGATGAATGTTCCTCGTTTCTGCCGTTTGTAAAATCAGATCCCTCAGGGCCACCAGTAAGCAGATAGGCAGATCACCAAGTGTGTTTCCAAGGTGGCACAAGAGGGCCCTGGGACCTTCTTGGCACCCCTGGCTGGCTCTCAAACGACTCAGCCGAAGCTGCGGTCTCACCCCTGGCATTGGTTTCTGCTTCCCGTGGTGTGCACTCAAGTTCTGTAGTCTCACCTCGCCTGGGTACTCTAGGGCCAGTGTCCACTCCGAAGTGAGGAGTCCGTAATGTGCCGTCACCCTCCTTTAGGGGTCCCTGCTACTGGCTGAACATAATTCCCAGTAAGGCCACTGACTCCGCCTCGGTTTCGAGCAACACATTACGGCGCATGCCTCTTCTGCTGGTGCCTTTTCAGTCTTTTTGCTCTGTGCGTATCGTAGCTGTCAGTTTGTCTCGAGCTCCTTTGACTTGTTGTATCCTTTGTCTCCGTGATCACAGAATGCGATCTTTCTGAGGTGGCTCGTTAAATGAATTTACACGTTTATTCCACAGATGCGAGTGGGGATGCATCCACGTGCTCGCACACACATGCATACACACACCCACATGATGAGAGGTAAAGTGAAAGCAACTGTAATAAACAAGGTGCAGAAACACTTGAGAGGAAGAGTAACATTTCAAAGCAGTTGTGTACCAGGAGCTGGTGTTTGCAGGAGTCTGTCTTGAGCAGGTGTTCCCCGTGCTCAGGCCCAACCTCTGTGATGTCGTTTCTCTGTTTTCACTGTGCTTTTCCTGAGTACTGCTGGGCATGTCCCGAACTGCAAGGTGCAATATGCAGGTCCTGCCCGGGAAAGTGGCCTGTTCCCTCCTGTATGTGGCAGTGACACTGAGCGAGCTGTCCCATTCTGTGTGAGGAGCGTGTGGACCTGAGCCTCCTGGCTTGTTCCTCCTGGACCAGAAGGCCTTCTCTCCTTCCCCGTAGCACTTCCTGTTTGGCCTCCCCATGAGCTTGCTGCTAAGAAAGCTGGCCACAGAAACCCGAGCCTGGCAGTCCGTGACAAACGAGGACAGCTCTTTTGTACAGTGGGCCCTTGGTACTTGTCATTAACTGGTCCTGAGAAGCAAGGCCAGTACCGAAAACAACAAGTGCCGGACAGGCTGTTTTGGCTAGGAAGGTCAGCGAGTCATGACACGGTGGACACTGACAGGTTCTAGCCTGTGTGTCGGGCACCAAACAGGTGACAAGGGCTAGGACAAAATTCTCACCCCAGAACGTCTGCGGTCCCAAACTCTGTAGCTGAATTCCAGGATATGGCCGTATGAGCAAGAGTAGAAAGTCACTGGAAGCCAGCCTGGGCTACATAGTGAGTTTGAGGCCAGCTGGAACTGTATAGTGAGAGCCTATCAAAAATAAATAAGCAAAAAGTTGAAAATTGTGATTATGGGTTGAGGCAGCCACCTTGCACCCTTCCCTCTGTGAAAGGGTGCGGTGAGATGCCGAGCATGAATGCAACCCGCACCCAGCCACCTGCAGGCCCAGCACATGCAGCTACAGTGCACAGGAGGCTTGAGGTCAGGGCGTGGCCTCTTCCCAGGCGGCCACACTGCCAGCGCTCCTGACCTCCAGGCACCTGTACAGCAGGCAGGAGGAGAGCTTCCTGCCTGTTTTCACACACAAACGTCTTGTACTGGATGCTGTGTGCTTGCAGCTGGGCTGTGACTTTAATATCACAGCAACCCAGCGGAAACTAATTTCCAAGTGTGCGTAGGAACCCGCACATGCCGGCTGTAAGACGGCAGAGCCTTGCGGTAAATCAGGATGTGTGTTCAGCCGGTCGTCAGTCTGAAGGAAGTTGGAAAGGTGGCCGTGAGCGTGTTGGACTCCTGGGATATTCTGAGTCCACTTCCTGAATTCGTAAGACTGCCCGGTATGCACCGGGGTAGCATGTCACCAGGCTGCAAGAGAGACGACCCAACCGCCACAGGCTTCCGTTCCTTAAAGGTCCCACTGCTGAGGTGGGGACGAAAGCAGAGAGGCAGGCACCATGGAAACGACCAAATTAGAAACCCACACCAGGGCCCCCGCTTGGAGGAGCGAATGGGTAACGTGTTCAGAAGTTCCAGCGCAGGGCCCGAGGGGACCCCCTGGCTTTCTAATGATGTCTTTCCAATGAAAAGGAAGTAGTAAGTTCTTTATGAAAGTCATGAAGATCTTCCCCTGGGGAAAGTTGATGTGTCAGACATGAGTCAGTTTTGCCAAGCTCCCTATTTTATCTAAGGCAAATTTTCCCTCACATTTTAACATTTGTAAAGCCAGATTGTTACCCTACCATTGAACTCGTTTTAGATTCAGTGACGTACAAGATTTTTACCATCTTAATCACTGTCGATTCCATAAAGTGCACTGCGTGAACCACCCGAATTAAGCTTTCTGTTCTTGAAATGAAAGCAGGTGGCATATATTTTGTCTTTGGAGGACACAGGTTAGCTCTATGAAAGTATTTCAGCTTCTCGCTCACTGATTGGTGACTACTGGTGTGGTCCCTGTCACCTGGCCTCATGCTGAAATTCAACAATTGGAGACACCAGCAGCTCCACAGAGGGTAGCTGTGGGTGAATTGTACGGTTTTGGTCTGCCCTGTTAGAACAGATGACTAGATTCAGATCTCTTACGAGTATAAGAAAAATAACGTCTTGTCTTCTATCAGGTAATTCATTCAGGAGCCTGGGGACACCAATGGTGCCCTTGAGCTGGTCAGTGTACTGCAGAGTTACCCTGGGGACCGTGAGCCAGGACGAGGGAAGAGCAGCAGATCTGGGCAGAATCTGGCAGAAGGGGTGCAGATGGGAGTGTGTCCAGTGGGGCGCTGTGACCTTCCAAAGAAGGACACATCCAGCTGTGGTGAGGCAAAAGGCAAGGGAGCACTCTAGCCATACACTCCTCCTCTTCCCATTTCCTGTACTGCGCCTTGACCAGATCCAACCGAAGCCAGCCAGTCCGGGGCACATAGGCCAGACCTTGGTGCTTGGGGGCTGTCACACGTCCTGGGGAAATACGGACCGTGACTCACTGCTAGTCCTTCGCAAGTTCCGGAGACTGCCTGGCCTTTCTAGGCAGGGTTCTCTGCTGTCGACAGCTGCCCCTTCTAGGGTCCCTAGTGCTTCCTGCATGGACCTCAGCACTATCCCTGGTGCGCGAATTCCAGGGGACCGCTGTTCCCCGCCACCCCATTCCTACCTACTCCAGACTCTACATTCTACACCACGTGGCCAAAGAGGCCTTACTAAAGTAAAGTGGAATGATCATTTTGTCGTATTTGCAGCTTACAGTGCATTAGATGACTCTAATAAGTTATAGAAACAGGAAAACTATGACTGGGGAATTTCATGTCTTTCTAAATATTTTGGACTCCAACAAAGAATTTGATTAATGCAGATCTTATGATGAACAGAGTGGGTGTTCAGATGATCAAGCCCCTCATTGGGCTTCCAAATAACTTTTTCAGCGCTGGAGGTTGAACCTGGGATGTCTGCACTGAGCTGCACCCTCAGCCCCTTCTTTATTCTGAGACTCAGGTACTTTGCTGCTCTAAGTTACTTTGCTGCCAAGCTGGACTGAAACTTGGAGTCCACCCGCTAGGTCCATCCCCTGCCACTGTCGGGGCCGGAGCTTGCTTTCGGTCGCCTCTGTAAGTGTGTGTTCCGCAAGTACAGAGCACCCCCACATACTCTTTGTCATGTGCAGCTTTGGGAGGTTGTTATTCTGGCAAACTAGACAAAAAGTTGACATCCTACCAGGAAGTCGGCCAGCAAAATCCCAGGGAGAAACAAGGGTTGGCAGTGCAGCTGTTTAATGTGTGTTCGCCTCACTGTTTTCCCCTTCCAACACGCTGAGAGGTTTTTTAGAATCCTGTTAACTAAGGATGTCAGAAATGGGACAGTTTGCCACTGAGGACAGAAAGATCTTTTCGGAAACCAACATCCTCTCACTGTACTGCAAAAAAAATTACAAGAATAGTAGCCTTTTTTACCCCATTTCTGCTTGTATTCCTCGTATTCCTGTTTAATAGACCATCGAGGACTTTGAAAATTGAAGTATCTGTAATATTCCTGATCTTAATTGCATTTGATTTGGTGAGCATTATTAAATATACTTAAGAAAAGGTTGTCTGTTGCTCAGATCTAGTGACTGCGGGCCGGTGAGTGGCCATAAGCAGGAGCACCTAGGCCCTGGCCTGCCGGGGAGGGACTCAGAGTGAGGGGGAAAGAGCTGTGACGAAGAATGCGGGCCCGGGCGGTGCTGAGCTGTAGTCCGGCGGGAGGAACAGCCGTTGAGTGGTGGTGGTCCCGACTTGTCCTGGGCAGCCCCAGGGGGTCAAGGGGACCTATGGGTAGAAGCGCCAAGGTGATGGGTGCAGATGTTAAAAGAAAACTGGGGGAGCCCGCTGTGCTGAGCCAGTGACCTCCATCCTGCGTGGGCGCCTCACTGGTCCAGCCACTGTGGAGCCACTGGGGGCCTGAGACGGGGCCACCACCACGGCCCGTGCTCCTGGCCAGACCCAGTTTTCAGGGTGTGTGCAAGGAAAAGCTCTTGAGCCGTGAGGAATTTCCTGATCTTCACTGACCTGGCATCCTTGGGCATTGTCTTTGAATGACATCACCTTCTGGGAGTCTTGTTGTCAGGTGTGCAGCGGCGAGGTTGTCACTGCTGAGGTGAAGCCGCAGTTGCCGCTGTCCTGTTCTGTGGCCCCGCATCTGTGGTCCTCGTTAGTTTTATAGCATTCATGCAAGTTTGCATCCAGTGCTAATTTCCCTGTTTCCCCAGTGAAAAGGCTGAAGTAGAGAGAGGTTAAGTGCCTTTCTTGTCCAGGGTCAGTTTGCTGGTAGGTGACAGAACTGTCTCTTGATTCTCTGCCTCAAACTCTTTCCACCAGGCAAAAAGCAAGCCTTTGAGGTGTGTGGAGCGGCTTTTGA